CGCCCTGCCCTTTCGGCTGTTCCGGCGGCCATTTTGAAGCTGCGGAACAGCTGATCGCAGCCATTTTCGTGCCCTCGTTCAGCGAGGGGAGGGCGCGAAAATGGCTGCCGGACCCCGGAAGCATCGCTGAACGGTGAGTTTTCAGCCGATTTGGAACGCATTAAACGATGTTTAATGCGTTCCAATGGGCTTTTCTGCCCCGCTCAGCGATGTTTCACACAGCGAGGGTTAATCCAGGACGGATTAACCTCGCTGTGCGAGGCACCACTGTATTTTGTTTTTAAATTGTGTGAATTTTAATGTTGTAAGCTGCTTTAGGTCCCTTGTTGGGAGAAATACGGCATGTAGATAACAACAAGAACAACAACAAGAACAACAACAGAGAATTATACAGTACGTATTCCAGTGTGCTGAGTGATCCCCTCTATGTGCTACTGAGATTAGTCCCAGAACAGTTCCATACCAAAAAATCAGAGAAGGTGGTTCTAGAGTAAGATCCAACTAATTTTGTTCGTGTGTAGAGAAATGCAGAGGACTTATCTAACTCTAACCACACAAACTTTGAAATTAAACAAGCAATATATCAAGCTTTGAAGTAATTTAATGATTATTCTGGTTACGGTAGAAAATAAGACAGTATTATGTTACTGTTCATGTGTATAGTGCAGAAAATAGGAGTAAGTACTGCCATCCACAAACCAGTTGTAACATGAGAATCCCTCTGGAATGAAGCAGAAAATGCAAATGCTTAATCAAGAGTATATTCAGCATTATATATCCTCTTTAAGCAGTACTTATAAACACACTCTTGTAAGATTTATTTTCACATGTAAGATTAAAGAAAAGTCTCACAGGAGTTTGAATAATGAAGCACAAAAATCAGAAATTATATTCCACGTGTACATACCATTTTGAAGAGCATCTGATGACTCCTGCCATGGCTGTCCATTAATAGTGACATTTTCTCGTACAGCACTTTCAAAGTTCTGTGAAAAATATATACACCAACAGCCTTAAAAAGAAAATATTTACACCAACATCTTTAACACTTTCAGAAGTATTATAACACGCAAGAAATCACATAAACATTTCTTATGACATTATCCACCCATCTTTTCTCACTATTATGTAGGAAATGGAGCAAGCTGTGCAGAAACGCACTTCACCAAATCCAGTAAGCATGACAGAAAGAAAATTAGTAATGAATTGGCAAATACCCAAATGTTCAATGCACATCAAGATTCCATTATATATTAGCAAAAACTACCCAGCAACAGGCTAATAGTGAACCAGTAGAATGTTGCCACACACTAAGAAAAAGATTTTGGCTGAGCACACTAAAGATTCAGCAGAAATGGCTCAAGAACCTCTGAGCCAGAAAAGTCAACTTGTGTTCCTATGTTGTTAAAATAAATTGGACAGAGGTGTTAATTTCCAACATTCCAAATCTGTCTACCAACATTCCGTCCTATGTTTTCATAATTAAAAGTTTATACTAGGGCTAAAAATATATTGAAAGTTTCAATATCTGAAAGTGATAAATAATGTTTATGATAGCAACAAGTATTTCTGCCAAAAATAACGCAAGGTTAATCTAATTCTGGTTCAAAATTAGCTTCTCTCCTTGCCCCAATGAGCAATAGGGTGTAACCAGAGATGAATCAAAACTATTCACAGGTACAGTCAATCTGAATATGTAAATCACAGTGTTAAAAGAGAATAAGGTCTGTGAGATGAAAACAGGGTAATCAAGGGAAAGCAAACAAATAACAGGATTAAATATTATGCAGTGATTAAATGAAGCATGTAGTGTAAAACAACTTGGATTAAAACGGGGAAGAACTGTGCAGCCTGTAGGCCACATGAGCAGACTGCAGAGACTCCCTCTCCTGCTTGCCCCACAATATTTTTTGCCCCAAAACATGGCATCAGGCCCCCATAAACATCTGGGCAATGTGATTCTTCATTTTAAGGCCATTTTGCATGCTTCATTTTTGGGCCCCAGAAATCTTTTTTCTACCAAACCAGATATGTCCAGTTATTTTGAAGAAGGGGCTTGGACGAGCCCTTGCAGAACTTGGAGGGTATACAGTATACTGAAGCAAAAAGACCCCAAACTCTCTGTGGCTACCCAGCCCAGGGTTATAGCATCTGGTGTGTCTTACATGTAAAGTGAAGTTCACTATTGGACATTTGCAAAGCAATACATTTGGCTCTTATAGTCCACTAGCCCCTTAAATAAAGCTTATGATGCTCCCATCTATCTAGACCATTAGACCTGAGAATCAAGAAAGATATATTCTTCCTATTCCAAGGAGCAGGTTTTTTGAGGCTCAGGCAAAGGTTGTTCAAAACCATGGTGGATTTGATTCTGCAATATGTAGTTTGTATCCTGGTTTTGTAGATAAAGGCTCATTCTTGCTAGTTGTAAGAACATTAATATTTACAATTCAAATCAATTCTTTATTTTTAGAATAATAACTTGCCAGATTAGTTTTACAGTTTTATCAGAGAAGTAATGAACTCTGCAAAGTGTCCAAAAGGCTAGATAAATATACACAAGAGGAAATTTATAGTTTCCCAAGAGTCTGGACTCTGCCTCAATATTTTCAGATGAAGTAGCAGGAGAAGTGAAAAAGCCTGAAACTAAGGAGTCAACCTGCCTCACATCTTCGTGCTTCTAGGAATTCACCGTTTGGTGATCTGCATAAAAATTAAATTTAACTGCTCTGCATTGTAATTATTTTTGATTATTTTGGCTCTTTATCTTCTTAATCCAGATCTATTCAATCCCAAAGAATCTTCTATTCACTTAACTTCTTGAAACTTAGCATTCAAGTAGTAAAGGGCTGATTCTGTATAAATCAATGTGCAATTCCTAATCTTAGTATTTTAAAATTTAAACTTTAAATTTACATTTTTAAAGAACATCACAGGAAAAATCTGCCAAAAAAAAGAAAAGGAGAGGTTATTTTGTTTTGTTTTGCCTTTATCAATATTTGCAAGGGTCAAGTCCTCTGTATTCCACAAGGATCTCACTGTATCACTCCTAGCTACGGCCAGATTGGAGTTTACTCAGTGCTGGAAAAATCTGGACAAGTTTAGCATTTGCATCTGTTTGGATGCAATTTAGTCAATGGCTTTTTCAGAGTCAATGACTAACAAATTGAGACTGTCTAAAGCAGGGGTCTCCAAACTACGACCCGCGGGCCACATCTGATCCAGATTGCCTTTCAGTTCGGCCCGGCGGGCATGCAAGTGTGCACACACACATGCGACCAGACAAGAGGGCACACACGTGTCTTCCTTTGGCCTTCAAAAATCTGGAACATGTATGTTGTGACCCTCACTCTGAAAACTTTGGAGACCCCTGATCCAAAGGCTTAGAGTCAACAAACAAAGCTGGTTGCCTTTTACTGAGTTTGCAAATAAGATTCCTTTTTAAAAAAGGAACGTTCTTTAGCCCTTTTTGCAGCTGTTGCACTTAGCTTAACAGTGTGTAATTGCACTGGACACTGCAGTTGTAGCGTTCTCCATTTGTTAGATCTATGGTTCTTGTTGTATTATGTAATGGTTTATGAATATTCATGTTGCTGAGAGGCTGCGCCAAAAGAGATGCTATAAGAGGTGAAGTCAGAAGTCAGATTAAGTCAGTTTTAAGTCAGTTAGAGAAATGTAAGAGTCAGGTAGGAGAAAAAAGCCAGACAGAGTAATAGAATGTGTAGTTTGGGAAATTCTGAGGTGTGATTACCTACTGAAGATATTTATGAATATCTGTAATCAATAAACCAAAGTTTTATTTAAAAGAACTTGAAGTGTGGACCTGAATCTTTCTGAAATAATGGTTATTTAGAGATCACCTGGTGGCAGCAAGTGTAAAGGAGAGTGTTTGCCTTTGTGTGCTTTGAGGCTTAACGGTCAAGCAAGGGTCACGAGGCTGGGATGTCACAGCAATGTATGATATTTTGTCTAGCTAGATCTGGATTAATGCACAAGGCTTAAAAATGCACTCGTCCACTCGTCTGTGACAAGTGAAAAATGCTGCTCGATGAGTCACAGCTCCCTCCCTCCCTGCCTCCTTGTCTTCCGCCTCTTTCTCTCTCTCTGATTCTGCAGTCCTCCCCTCCCCCCTCAGATTGCAAAATGAAAACTGCCCTCTTTTCGAGAGAAGAGAGTTTGAGTGGTACCTAGAGATACTGTATAGCTCTGCAGGAGAATGTAGAGTAGTCTCATGCTGGAGAAAATGGAGATTCCCTGCTCCCAGTTTCAACCGAACAAGAACACATCCTCGGGTGGGAGGGAATCATGGCTCTTTAAGAGGCTGGACACTTTTGCTTTCATTTTAATTTTTTCTAGAGACATTGAAAAGAAAGACATTCAAATACAGTACAAGCTTCATGACCTCACAGGCATTCAGGCAATAAAGCAACCCAAGTCTGTGGGTATAAATCAGTGATTCCCAATAAATTGCAAGACTATAGTCCGGTCATGCTGACTGGTGAAATTTTTGACTGACTGTTGAGACATTCTAAAAATTTTCAAGCTCAGTTAATAAATTTCTTATTTGTTTTAATAAATATGCTTTTTTAAAAAATTAGCAGAGAAACAATAGGACTGAAGTCTATCAAGTCTATATATGTTTATTTAGAAATGTTTTTGCTTTTAAAAAGAGGCATGATATCTCTGTAGATACTATTTCACTGTTTTGAGAACTGTAATACCAAGCATCTGTAATGGTTTCTCCTGGTAATTCCCAACCTTGGGACTCAGATGTTCTTGGACTGCAACTCCCAGCAGCCTTCACCACTAGCTGTACTGGCTAGGATTTCTGGAAGTTGCAGTCCAATGACATCAGAGGACCCAAGATTTAGAACCCCCACTCTAAACAGAAAAGCCACCAAAATAAACTTACAGAAAGCTCTGAGAGACCATGGCATAGGGGTGCTAATCAATGAATGAATGGAATTAATTTACAATTTTTAAAACTAATCCTTCTTTTATGATGAAAAACCTTTGGGCTATAATGTGTCTTTGTGACATTCACCCAGGTCATATTCATACACTATTTACACAGACCAATCGGAGTGCTAGAGGGGCGGATTCGTGAGGTATAAGAGATTCAGCAGGAGGAGGAGGAGTTTAGATAGGGTTTTAGAGATAAGGTTTGAAGATAGGGAGAGGTATAAGAGATTCAGCAGGAGGAGGAATTTAGATAGGGTTTTAGAAATAAGGTTTGAAGACAGGGAGAGAGAGTTTTGGAATTTGGGTGTGAGAATGGTGGTTAAGGATGGATAAAGAATAATGTTTGTTTAAGAGTTAGCAACATTACTTGTTCTGTCAACACCTGTATCAATAAACAATTTCTATTTGGTTCTTTTAAAATGACATATGGCCTGGACATCTATCATTCATAATAGGTATTGTTGATGAAATCAACTGGTAGCAGCTGAGGGGCACGTAGCGTGAGCTCCTAGTTTGGTGAAACAATCAGTCTACAAGGAATCCTGACAGTCTTAAATAGAAAACTATCTTTAGATAGATTTTTCCTCAAAAAGCATTTTATCACACAAAAACTGATTTAAGTAAAAAAAACCAATTTAAATTACAAATATTTGATTTATATTTTAAAATCCTTTTGAATTTTTTATAAATCACTGATTTTTATCCACACTTTTTAAGACTTATCCATGATCCATTCAATAGGATTAAGGAATCAGAAGTTAGTCAAAGGAAAAACACACATTGGCTAAAATCCTGTTGTGCCGTTCCACATGTGCAACAGGGATATCAACCTCACTGGCAACTGCCATGGGTTACATGTAAATCTCCCCTGATCAAGGGCAATTTTGGCGTTCATACAACTCATACACAATGTGATGAAGTCAACTGCACTCCAAAACCACCAAAGGAAGCCTTTAACCAGCAGTGGCTTACCACAGCTGCTAAGATCATCATAACTATACACACAGAGCTGTATAACAAGATTTCAGGCAAAAATAGTAATATAAAAGAATTAGGCCTGAGCTTCACCTGAAGACAAAATGAAACATTAATTTAAATAAAAAAATACTAGAAATTAAGATTTATTCAAACCTGACCATGAGACAAAAATCTAATCCTGTGAGAAGATTACAAGGAAAAAGTTCTAACTGAGAGGTGTGCAATCTTTTAGAAAAAACGTCAGAGATTAATCAGAGCTGTTCTACAAGTCAGTGGAAGACATCCCATGGGAAACATAACCCACTCTGAAATTGTGAAAGGAAAATGAATGCACCTGAAAGGCAAAGTTCTCTGTGTGAGAACATTCAGCATAAGTGCAGCACCCAGGGAGAACTGCCTGTGAAAAGTAGGAGTGGAGGAGCAATAACACTAAAAATATTAGGTCCAGACTAGACCAAAAAAAGTAGATTGAGGTCCAAAGACCCCCAAAAAATCTGCAAACAAAAACAAAAATTGAGGAAAAGTAATATTAAATTATAAAACAGAAGGGAAAAATAAGTTCCCCTCTCAGAGTACAGATGCTTTTGATCCATCAACACTCCTATAATTTCTTGCCTTCCTATATGCCTCTTTACTCCTGTAATTAAAACTGGTAGATGGTAATTCAGAAATAATGACTTTTATCACTTTTCTTTGATGCCCAGCGGAAGTATCCTCTTTGTCTTGTGGCATTTAGCAATGACAGTAGGGTCTTATCAAATGACAGATACATTGAAAGTATCCAACTTTGTCACTTCTTCACCTGTCTTTCCACTTATTGCTGGACTTGCAAATCCAGATTGGAGGGAGCTTTTTTGCTCTATCTTTCCAGAGGAAACAGACACACTGTTTATGAAGAAATGATTTATTCTAATCCATGCTGCAATTCTACATGCCTTGTCACAGGTAGCACCAAATGTGGAATCTTCATATAAGGCCAAATTTTTAAAAAGCACATACTGTATTGATATGCATAAGATACTGTACAAGGCAAATTGGTTGGGGGAGGATGTAGCAGTTGTCTGATCTCTAGCTACTCTGTTACAGTCTCTAACTGCAAGTGAGTGAACTGTGTGGGTAAATATGGGTGAGTTGTGTAGACTGGTGAAGAATCAAAAGGTGAAGCTGTATCTATTTGCTTCAGACTGTTTGTGTCTGAGTTATTTTTTAGGTCTATCTATGTGTTTCTGGATTGTTGATTGCACCATATGCTCTGCTCCAAGAACATAAAATTAAGTGAGTATTAAGGAGACTACCAACTTGGTTGAGGAAGGAGCCAGCAGTTTTCAGATCTACAACTACAGCCACAGAGAGTATGAGAGGAGGACAGGAATATTGTGACCCACCTACACAGCAGTGGTGACTGGTGATTCCAATTTCAGGTTTGCTCTTAATCCCTTCTCAGTTCTAGTCTGCATTTTACAACAGTTTATCTAAGGAGATAAACCTATTTTGGGGGGATCTGGTTCAGCATGGTGGACAGCTCCTTGTAAAGTACACACTAAAACCTGGAATGGTTTCACAGCACCACAAAAACAGGAGGCACCCAGCAAAAAGATATCAATGGTGAAATACCTATGCCATGCTCATTTCCCTGCCTGAGGAAGCAGAAGCCTACCTTGCATCAAATGTAGTCTGGCTGCCCTAGTGAAAGAACTCCAGCACCTTTAGCCCCCTCTACCCCATCCCTTCATCCATGTTTTAACTGATGAGGGACAATAAAGAGTACAGTAGATAGAGAAGATTTTCCCAGAGGTGGAACTGAAGGGAGATGATTCTAAGGAGGAAGAATAGCAAATGCAGGAGGAAGCACTTGGAAGAACGTGAATACTAGAAAAGAGAGATTTTCAGGAACCATAATTCTGAGGCATTGATTAAGGGCAACAATCACTGTCCCTTCCCATTCTGAGCTGCTGGAAAAGGGATAGCAGACACTCCAGAAGTAGCCATGGAGGGTTCAGTTAATGGAAGGATTCTTTCTACTTTCTGGATGAGGACAAGACCTGCAGTGGTAGTAGGTGACTTCCTGTTAAGGAGTAGGACAGAGCAACAGGTTACAAACCTCACAGGCTGTCCTAGGAGGTATGCTGTCAACTTGCCAAGAATCCTTAAACCCACTGACTATTACCCTTTCCTTTTTAACGACATGGGATCAAAACATGATTCAGTGTACTGAAGTAGTTCCCATATCTGGGTCTCTAGATATTCCTGGACTACAACTCCCAGAAACTTTGGCCATAACATCTAATGGCAAAGGTTTCTGGGAGTTTTAGTCCGATAACATTCTGTGGGCCCATGCTTGGAAACCACTGATGTACTGCAATGAGCCCCTGGATACAAAGGTGAAATATGTTCTGCAGACCGTTCTAGTTAGTTTGTAGGCAAGTCAATGACTGTAGTGACACTATGGACTCAAATATACCAGTGCAAATATCAACAGCTATTAACTCACTCTTTGGCTTCAGGTGAGTCACTACATCTCTGCCACTGTACTATAATATACAGGTAATACTGAGTTAGTGAAAATATCTATTAAAAGGATTGCTAAGACTGCTAAAGAAATGTACTAAGGTGTTGAACACAGTGGGCATTCAAGTAAGCAGGTAAATATTTTCACTGGTACATAATGTAACATGAAGAACATTTCACAAAGGCACTTCATAAATAATTTCCTGTACCACAATATTTCAGAGGCTCCTTTCCCTAAAAGAGGACACTTTGTGAAGCTGCACTTACTGAATTATCACCAAATTGGTAATCTATTCCACTCTAGAACTTAATTTAAAATGCTATTACTTTTAAGGCCCCTTGGAACTGGGACCTAAGTTTTCTAACCTATCAACATTATAAACTTGGTTTACAGGTACCAGGGACAGCACCTCAGTTGTATAATCACAAATGAAGCTTCCCTGGCCACAAACGTCCTTATTTGTTGGATATATGTTTCTCCCTGTTTCAAAACTACTTTGACACCGGTTTTGGCTGCATGTGCAGGAGACCAGATCTTTAAAAAAATGACAAAATTTAAAGCAAAAGAAAAGACGATTTCTTTTCTGCTGGGAACCCAGGAACCTTCTCCGAAAATATGGTAACAAACATTTCAGCAATAAAGACCAAGACCCACTCTCCCAAGCAGTTAAGTGACGTTTGTTTGGGGATATTTCAGGCGTTGTTCTTCTGAGAAAAATAAATTTTAAAAAAAGCAACGCTTAAAATAGGAATCCCACGCCCTCTCCGAATAGCCTGGACCCTACAGGGCTCCGAAAGGGAGACACTGACAGCCCGGCCGCTCTCCCACCCTTCACTTCGGCCCGGCCGCTCTCACCCAAAGCGCTTCGCCGAGAGCCTGTTCGAGGGTCTCGGCTTCCACCGCCTGACCCGCCCCGAGCTTGCCCACGACAGGCTCGTAGCAGCCCAGCAAGTCAACCGCCCGGCTCCGCGAACGGCACTTCACCCGCGGGTCGAGAGACGGAGAAGGGGAAGAAGGGGCTGCCGCCGACGCCGACGCCGGCGCCTCCGCCTTCGATGCCATTTCCCGCTCTCTCGAAACCGTTCGCTAACAGGAGCCACCCACTTCCCCAACCCGGAAGCAGAACTCACTCAAGCCGCTTGAGGCAAAGCGCGGAGGCGAAGATGGGGGTGCGCTGAAAGAACGGGCTCGGCCAGGAACGGAGACTGCGGCGCTTGGAGTTCCGGGGGGGTGTCAAAAGATGGGGGCGGTGGACTGCCATTGCCACCTCGCGGCGCCCGAGTTCCAAGGGGTGAGTCCGAGGCGCTGGAAGGACGGGCGAGGCTCGTCCCCTCATCAGCGCAGCGGTCGGGCTGCGGTGCCCCGCCGCGAGCTCCTTTTCCCGTTTCCTCTCTGAGGAAGAGGCAGGATCATTTAATCTAAAAAACCCTGTGTCCCGCCGCGGTGAACTGGGAAGCCTGCGAGGAAGTTGCTTAAAGGCGGTATCCGTGGGATATTCAATTAAGTGGCAAAATGATGAATTATAATTCCTTTCAAAGCCTTGTTGCTCCCGTCATATCTCGCGGCAGGAACTTCCACAAATTGTGTATTGTTTTCTCCTTATAGCAATATAGGTCTACCCATCTAATTTCCTCTCCACTGGCCCACTTTGAAAGAAGCACTATTGCGGCACTGTGGTGTACAGGGTCGGGATTGTGGTGTGGTAGACAAAGAGGGATCTGTATTCGAGAAACCACTCCTTCAGAATCTCATATATCTTGAAAATCCTATTCGACTGACCATGACTCAGTAGCCTCTTCATGGTGCGATCTTGAAAATCCTATTCGACTGACCATGAGTCAGTAGCCTCTTCTTCATGGTGCCTTTCAACACCATTGTTACACCGTCCTTGTTGAATTGAAGGCTGCATTCCTGTGCACCCTCATTGTGGGTGCCATTTAACTCGGTAGGACTTTGTCATGTGCTGTGAAGCCGTTTTCAATTTATGCTAACATTGGTAGGGGGTTTGAGGTATGTTCAAATAATAACCGTCCTTGTTGAATTGAAGGCTGCATTCATGTGGGAAATGGTCCCATTTAACTCGGTAGGACTTTGTCATGCGCTGTAAAGCCGTTTTCAATTTATGCTAACATTAGTAGGGTTTTTGAGGTATGTTCAAAGAATGATTTACCATTGCCATGAATTTCCATGTCTGAATGTTTGAAGAAGTGGCCATGTTAGTCTGTGCAAGATATGAGACAAGCAATGACGTTGAGGCATAGGTAAAGAATAACTGCTATACAGTATTTTAATATGAGCTTTCTTGGATCAAATCCACTTCCATCATCTGATGAATCTGAGCTGTCAGAGGAAGTGGACTTGAACCACAAAAGCTCACATTAAAATATAGCAATTAGTTTTTCAGATGCCACCTTCTCTCTTTCTTTCTCTCGACTTGTCTAAACATCTCAATTAGGAAATGCTAGAGTGGGCTAAATAGGGTTGCTTAAGGTCAGATAGAAATCCAGTATGCCATTTAGTGTGATTGTTGCATCCACATGACATATGCACCTCATACTTAAAATGTTTGCTTCCTTGCTTTGCACCTCTACAGAAGAACAGAGTAAGTATTTAATTTCCTAATATCATGAAGTGGCTAAGCTGTCTTCTTAAGCCACTTAGCAATATTGGGAAACTGAAAACGGAGGGGAAACTGAAAGTTGTAAGCTCTGCTTTGGTTCAGTTCTGTCAATTGCACATGCTGGAAATGAACAAAAAAGGAATGATCCTAAAAAAGTGATAACCAATGATAACCAAAAAAGTGTTAGCCCTGACAGGGATTCAGAAAGGTGCAGTGAACCAAACAGCATGACAAGTGGCCATTTGATTTCAAACACTCTGTCTTTGGTGTGATATACATGCCTGAGTGGGGATTTGAATCTAGGTAAGAGACCCCACTCAGACCTAAATACGTACGTATAGTTTTGCATTGTGCACACAACAATGTCAGTAATGTGTTTGCCACAGTGTTATAGTTACATACTGTAGTTAATTAGAATTTTGCAGAAGGCAGGGGGAATAACTGATCTGTTGGTCTGTGAAAATCTAAAAAGTGATTTTTAATTTTATTAAAAGCCATGAGCTGATAAAAACTTAGGAAACACTTATTTTTACTGAATACATTTATGTGAATCGAATGAAACATTACAAAGGCGTTATCTGTTGGTAAACATCCAGTGTCAGAAAAGTTAAAGAACAATGTTGGTGATGTTTTTTTTCTTGGAAAAATCCTCATTCATTTGTCCAGCAAAATCATTTATATGTGCTGAAGGACACTGAATGAGGAAAAGGCACTTGTACAACTTGTCCTTACTATGTCTTCCTTCTTTACAATTATATTTTTTATCTTCTAGGACATTGAGTATGTATTAGAAGAAGCAAAGAAGGTTTGTAATTGAGCCTTTTCTTTGTAGTTGTAGTTTTTAATTTTGTCATGTTTATGCTTATTGGTGGATTCTTCAGTAGGGCAAGCGGGCCGCTGCCCCACCTCAGACACAGACTACATCTAGCCATTACACATCTGCCTATCACTTCACTAAAGGCAGATGATCTGTGTGTGTATGTGTGGAGAGAGCGAGAGCGAGAGAGACTGCTTGCTGATCTCTGTCTCTGTGTGCATGAATAACCAATTTTGCCCTGGCTCCACTCACTTTTGGCTGTTGTACTTTGCTCCCTACCAGTCACTGCATGCACCACCAATAGCTGTTGAAGTTCTGGAGATGTTTACATTTGCTATTAGTTTTTGGAAATGTATATAGAACTGAACAGTCATTTCTACAGTAATCATTAGATTACTGCATCTCAAGACAGTGACATGGATCTTTGGGTAGGTTCATGAGAGAGTTCAAGGAGGAAGCTTTTCCCCATCACCTACTTCCCCTGTAGTCACTTGTGCTTACCCAATATTCTCTCTGGAGGGGCAGAAGGCTATTGTGAACATGGTACTGAGTGAGAGTGATGATTCTGAAGTCAGTCTTGGATATCAAGATATAGCAAGGAAGTTCCCAGAAGGAATATTTGCTAAATCTTCTTAACTATCCTTCTAGCAGACACCATTTTCTTTTCTGGAGTATCCCCCATCTTTCTGGAAAGGCTTTCTGAGGCTTTCAGTTGGTCATAAAGAGCTGCAAGAAATGCTAAATTTTGTTTCTGTAAGTTTCCTTTAGTTAACACCTCTTAGGATCCAAGATTCTAAGGCATAATTATAAGATTAGAATTTAGATATAACTATAAGGTCAATTAAAAATAGGAGATGCATGCATTTAGAAATAACTCTAAATTCTCATTCCTGAGCATATACTGTATGTTTTGAATTATATTTTACAATTTTTCATTATGGTTTTCAGCTCTAGCTAACTTATTTCCTCTTAATTTAGTCCAGAGTATTGGCCCTGGTGGTAGTAGCTGAACATGCAGGAGATTTTGAGAAAATTATTCAACTTTCAGAAAGGTATTGAAGTTTAGCATCTTTTAGCCTACTTTGATGAGGTAAAAACAATTGCCAAGTGAAATGCAAAAATAAAATGTTTTTTAAAAATTGTGCGCATAGTTCAATGCATTCACATATGTCAGGCTTTAGACTGTGCTTCTCAATGAGCAGTTAGTTCCCTACTGTTGCATGCAAAATGTTTTATAAAATGTTTATTTTAAAGAGATATGCTCTTCTGTCTGGGAGACATCCACCGGTGAAAGAAAAACAATAAAACATACCAATGGATTTTTGGAATGCCTTTGATCCTTCTTATGGTATTTTATAGTGAAACTTCAGCATGCTGATGTAACTGATTCCATTGTGTTCAGAATATATATTTTAATAATTCTTAGGGATATATTGGAGCATCAGTGTGGTGACATGGACAGAATGTTGAACCTGGGTCCCAGCTGGCAGACACCTATCAAAATCTATACTCATTCATGAGACTCATGAAAACGTTTGAGCCAGTCACTATCTCAGATTGAATAAATACAAAAATAAACTTTGTTATTGTTTTGAATCAAGCTTGTTAGGTTGGAGCTATTTCTAAGCAACAGTCAGAATCAGAGCGTGAAATTAGGATACACTGCTAATAATCAAGAATCAACAGAGCTAGAAAAAAAAATATTGGCCTTTTCAAACCCTTATGCTTGTTATTTAACAATAATATGTCCCTGACTTTTCCCATCCATCATATGTATTTGTATCCAGGTACCCAAGATTTGTCTTTGGATGTCTGGGCGTCCATCCAGTTCAAAGCATTCCAGCAGGATCTGAGCGCAGTGTTACTTTAAAGGTGAAGTAGAAGCAAGTTAGCTTGTTGCAGTTTATCACTTCTGTAGTATTTCTCAGTTTCCCAGGTATTTTTCAGTCTTTGTTGCAAAGCAAAATGAAAGTACAGCAATGTGGTGATCACTATAGTGCCTATTTTACAGATGGGGGAAAGGTGATGACTTGCCAAAGGCTGCAGTGTGGATCTAATTAGTGGCAATTAACCTATGGAATGTTATCTTGTAGGCTACACAAGTTTCCAAACCATAATTGTTTAGCACTAACCTAATCTTTGCAAACAGCACCTTTGCTAAGATTAGGTAATAAACAATTATGTGCTAAACAATTTCTCACATGATTGCTGTCATGGAAGAAGTCTTTTTTAAAGGAGTTAGGACCTGGCTGCTGATGCCTCTGTCACACACATTGCTCACCTGTGACCTTGGTTGTCCTGACTTCTACAGTGAGATTCAGGTTTTGGGTTCTCTTTGTTCAAGGTTGCAGTCCATTTAATTTGTAAATTCCATATTTAAGATTTTTTTTAAGTTAGAGCTTCACATTCCTGTTATATGGCATATCTCTAAAATAACTGACAGCAAAACACATCTTATAGACATATACATACAAACAGTTTAATGAGTGTTTTTCATTACAACTGGTGGCACATATGTGTAGAGGAAGAGTTTGTCTGACACAGTGACTCCTGGGGTGAAGAAGTCCATTAATGAGGGTTAATGTAACTTTCTCTCCAACTGCCATATGTGTAGGTATCCTTCAGTCTTGAGAGACTATGGTAACGTGCTCTGAATAGAGGTCTTGGAACAGCATCTAGTGCGGCTGAGAAGGCCAATTCAAGTGTGACAGCCCTGAATAGAGGTCTTGGAACAGCATCTAGTGTGGCTGAGAAGGCCAATTCAAGCGTGACAGCCCCTTCCATACTGGAGGCAAATACAGTCTGTCCCCTGTCCAGCTCCATGATTTTGCTGGTTTCAGGACTCTTTCTCTCGGCCTGCTGAACAATTGTCTCTTCAAATTGGGAGAGGCCATGCTGCACTGGCTGCCTCCAGGCTGAATGCTCAGAGGTCAGCCGTTCCCATCTGTTGAGGTCCATTCCTAAGGCCTTCAGATCCCACTTGCAAATGTCCTTGTATCACAGCTGTGGTCTCCCTCTGAGGCGCTTTCCCTGCACTAATTCTCTATACAGGAGATCTTTTGGAATCTGACCGTCAGCCATTCTCACGACATACCCAAGCCAATGTAGACATCGCTGTTTCAGTAATGTATACATGTTAAAAATTCCAGCTCGTTCTAGAACTACTATATTTGGAACTTTGGCCTGCCAGGTGATACCAAAAATGTGTTGGAGACAACACATGTGGAACGTGTTTAGCTTCTTCTTCTGCCATGCACAAAGGGTCCAGGACTCACTGCAGTACAGGAGTGTACTCAGGACACAGGCTCTATAGACCTGAATCTTGGTATATGCCGTCAGCTTCTTATTAAGCCATACTCTCTTTGTGAGTCTAGAGACGTGGTAGCTGCTTTGCCAATGTGTTTATCCAGCTTGACATCTAGAGAGAGAGTGTGTCAGAGATCACTGAGCCAAGGTACACAAAATCATGAACAATCTCCAGTTGTTCATGATTTCATGATTGGTGGTACACAAAATCATGAACAATCTCCAGTTCATGATTTCATGATTGGTCGTAAAGGAGGAGCATACCCAAATGCAGCTCCTCCTTTATCACCGAATTGAAATGCAACACTATTTACTTTATAGAAAAGAAAGTACCTTGAAAGACAGACTTGGAGTGATGAATCAAGCCTGCTTATGACATTTTGCCCGTACTGGAACTTGTGTGTAACATATAGTTGCTTCTGACAAATAATATTGTATTTTTCAAAAGTAACCAGGGCATGATGGAGTCACATTTGAAAAGTAACGTAATGAGTAGGATCAAAGCACCAAAGATACATGATTCCTTAGTTAGACCAAATGGCTTCATGAGCATTATTTGATTAGATGAAAAACATCCTACATTTTGTGTTAATTTCATATTGAATATGTGTTTCTATGAAGAAACATGCATAAAGGCAGAATCTTTTCTTCTCAGGCTGTGCTTTGATTCCATGAGCTGTTCACTGTATGATTAAAATGTAGAGTAGGATTTTGTAAAGTAAGCCCTGTAGCGCATTAGTTAAACTGCAGTACTGCAGTCAAGCCTCTGCTCATGACCTGAGTTCGATCCTATCAAGTTCAGGTAGCCAGCTTGAGATTCACTCAGTTTTCCATCCTTCCAACATCAGTAAATTGAGTACGCAGGTTGCTGGAGGGTGGACAATGTGTAGCTTGCATAATTAAATTGTAAACCGCCCAGAGATTGGTTTAAGCACAATGGGGTTGTATATAAGTTGACAAAATAAAGTATCTTTTTCAGACTTTTTGGTCTTATCACAGACATGGGTTACACAGAATGAGAAGAGGACAAAATAGGCTTTGTGAAAGTTCAAATATTGATTGCATTCTCTTATGTGCTATCCAGTGGGTGCTGACTTATAGCAACTCTAATTAGGTTTTAAAGGTAAGAAAGATATTTAAAGAATGATTTTACCAGTTCCACACCTCCAGTGAACTTCTGTGGCTGAGCAGAGATTCAAATCCAAAAGCTCCCTTTTCTCCAGACAATAAAATCAAGGGGTTCTGGAACACCTGTACTATTTTTCGCATGTGTGGGAACAGAGGCTGTTGGAAAAAAATAAAATGGCAATGGGTAGATCAAAAGAGAAACTACATCAGGGATGGGAGCAGCTATTGAAGCACCAGTGTTTGCATCACATTTACACAAGATCTTCCTGCAGGATTTGGATGAAGCATTGCCACTCATAGAACTTTATAAGGACCGCTTGCTGGCCATAGGAGAGGTAAGCACAATTGTGGTAACCTTTCCCATTGTTTCTGCTTTCAATGTTGGCATTGCTTCATGGGTAATGTTTTTATTATGGAGAAAGCACTGTCAGTTCCCTTGAATTCAGTGGGCTTATTTCTGAGTTCACATCTGTAGAAGCGAACCCTAGCAAATAATAAGGAAGACTTGTTGTTTAGATGCTTTTGTATCACACTTTCACATGCACATACACACATGGAAAGGAAAATGCGCACATATTGAAATATTCACAGATGTGACCAAGATATATAATAATTATGTGTCCTAGATTGCTCAAGAAAAAGTAGGACATAAATATGCAAACAAATAAATGAAGGTTTTATATATGGGATGTTTGCTTTTCCTGATGTGGAGCATATGCGCAGTTGTTCTACATGTGAGTTACATAGCATTTTCTACATAGGAAATTAACTTCCCTGAAAGAGTTCTCTCAGTTTTGAAGTGGTCCTTAAAACTGTCATATATTGGCTTTTTAAAAAGCAACATAATCAACATTTAAAACAGCATAAAAACAACTCTACTTTTGGACTGCTGAATAACAGATTGGTTAAGCATCTCAAGTCTATCACAAAAATAACAAATCTTCTATAATGTGTTTTTAATTAAATATAGACTTCTGTTAAAGCAGGAGTGAGGAATGTGTGGCCAACTACACAATGCTGGTCTTTAATTTACAGATTAAATAAATAAATAAATAAATAATTTACAGATTTTAAATTGTTTTACATTTGTTTTTAATCTTAATACTTTCTGTGTATAAGATGATACTTTTGTTTAAAATCTTTAGACTAAAATTGAGGGCTGTCTTATACACAGAAGTAAGCTGAGAACAAAAACAAGTGGATGGGGAGAAGGGATCAAAGCGATCCTGCCATGATTTGATCATTGCTTTCCCCCTACACTTGCTAAGCTCCACGGTGCTTAGCAAAAGGAGGGGGAAAGCAGGGATCAAAGGGCTGTAGGATCACTTTGACCACTGCTTTTTCCACCACTTCCTAAGCCCCACAGGGCTTAGTAAAAGGAGGGGGAAAGCAGGGTTCAAAGTGATTCTGCAGCCCTTTGACCACTGCTTTTTCCACCACTTCCTAAGCCCCACAGGGCTTAGTAAAAGGAGGGGGAAAGCAGTGGTCAAAGGGCTGCAGAATCACTTTGAACCCTGCTTTCCCCCTCCTTTTGCTAAGCCCCGGGCTTAGGAGGTGGTGGGGGAAGCAAGGATCAAATTTTCTAATTTGGGGTTAGAAAAGTGGGGGTCGTCTTATACATTGGGGGCTCTTATAAATGGAAGAGTACAGTAGGTTTGATTGTTTTTTTAATGTGAAATTTATATAGTATTTTAAAACTGTGTTTGTTTTATACTTTTATCTGTTGTGATCCAGCTTGGTTCCCCTAAGGGGAAAAAGGTGGCAAATGTGTGTGTGTGTTTGTGTGTGTTGTTGGACTACAACTCCTGTTAATCTTCAGCAGTTGGTGTTTTTGGGCACAGCTAGGCTGATGGGACTTTCAGTTCCCATCTGGAGAACACTCCATTTCCCAACCCAGTGTTCAAGACTATGCAGCTGTTTAGAGGCAATAGTTTTCATCACTGCCCCTTCCAGAATGCATTTTGAGCTGAAAGATTAGGGCAGAAAATAATTTCGAATTTCTCTTTTTCCACTGCAGGTTGGTCTGGATTTCACACCCCGATTTGCTAGTGCTGATGAGCAGAAAGAAGAGCAAAGACAAGTCTTGCGCAAACAGATTCAATTAGCAAAACAACTAGATTTGCCTCTGTAGGTATTGTGTGCCTTCTATGTGTGTGTCACGAGAAAAAAAATACTATTTTTCTATTTAGAAGAATAACTCTTGATTCCGCTTTCTTTGGATCCCATTTACTAATTAGTGAAGTAATTCATTGTTTCCATTTGAGTTCTGCTGCCTTCAGAAATAAGCTGTTCTATAATCTTTATGAGGTCTTTCCAGGCATCATATTAATAAATGTTTTCTTCTCTCTATTCCCCCCACTGGTTTTGATAAAATCAGCAGTTCATTGAACAATCAACAATGACATTGTTTACTTGTTTATAGAATGTTTTAATTAAGCCTGTTCTGAAGGCCTGCGGTGGATAACAATAAGTTAAAATCTCCATCTTGGATAAAACTTAAAAAGCCTTAGGAATATTCAGACATCACCTCTGTAATTGGCTTATCAAGCTCTGAAAATCCAGCCTGGCTTTGCTAACATACATATCCTGCTGATGTCTTTTCCTCTTCTTATTTACCCTAGAAATGTCCACTCCCGCTCAGCTGGAAGGCCAACCATTAACCTCTTAAAGGAGCAAGGTACATTTAATTTGATTCGATCATTTATGTTAATTCATGGATTTTGTTTTGTTTTTGCCAGAATATGTGATCACCTGGTGAAGGATTGCCCAAACCCATTGTGGGGGACAGAGTCAAATTTTCTTCTTGCATATTACACCACAAGAGAATGACCATTCTATACTTCAGAAGCCCTGTTTAATCATTATTTACTTGCTTCTCAGCAGCATACTTAAGAGAGGAGTTGTCACACACACCCAGTTCCCCTGTTTGTTCTTCCACACAACCCAGGTTCACTTTCGGGTATGACATTTACTTTTCAACCCTTTTCACTGCCACCAGAGGACTTATTCCTCACTCTATCAAAAATGACTCTTAAATCACAGTTCTCCAATATAACAATGTTTATTTATGTTTGTTGTGGGTTTTTCGGGCCATTGCAGTATAGTAGTGCTTCCCAAACGTGCTGTCCTCTGAAGATGCCGGCCACAGAGACTGGTGAAACGTCAGGAAGAACACCCTTCAGAACATGGCCGAAGAGCCCGAAAAACCCACAACAACCATTAGGTCCCGGCCATGAAAGCCTTCGCGAATACGTTTATTTATGTGTTTATCCGTAAATCATATAAAGTGAATCATGGATGGTCTTATTTTATTCATTCAATAAACTGGGCTTTGATAACATTTATATTTGCTTATGAAGAATCATTTTAATCAAGGTATTTATTCATTTCTTATCTTATTCTCTATCTCTCTAGTACTCTTCTCTAACATGAGGCTAGTCCTAACTGCCTAAATTGCTTCTCTCTAACTGATATCCCTAACTGAAGTCCCTAACTCTAACTTCTAATTTCTAACTCATATCCCTAACTCTAACTGATCTTTAACTGTCTTCCATTCCTCTTATATTTCCTTAGTTCCGCCTCTTCTGTTCAACCATTGGTTGATATATCAAGGTTCCATTGTGATGGACAGGAGTGGTTACTGACCTTTCTGTCGCAGGAGTGCTTAGGCACCTCCTGTCTCCATAATGTGGAGAGTGATGTATCTTATTCATGTATTTGTTATTTGCTTTGCAGTTCTCCCACCTTTCTCCCTAAAAGAGACCTAAGGCAGCTAAAACAGAAGCAAGGTGTCTCTCCGTAGGCTCTCTATGCAGCAGAAGCCCTATTTTTTCCAGGGTTGTTGCCTGCAGTCAGAGCCTACATGTGAGGAGGACCCTTCTCTTCAAATACACTGCTCCCTGAGGAGAAAACAGCAATGGGGAGGGAAACGGTTAGGTGCTCCTCTTGACAAATGTTGCCAAGAAGTGGATAAGTGACAATTGAATAAGGCCCAATTCCCAATTACAGGCACAGTGTAGGTGTCTGGAGGCCCTCAACAGTTCCATTTGGGGAGATGCTGCCTTCAGAAATAAGGAGCAAGACTACTAGGCCATGACATAAAGGAAGAAGCCCAGCACTAGCAGGTTGAGCTCCTGTGCTGCACTTTGAAGGAAATGAAGTGAAACGCATTTCTTGCTAAAAAATGCTGTTTGGGAGACAGAAAACCATTAAGTACAGAGTCTAAAACTACCTGGCTGAAAGCAATGCTGAGGCTTAAAATTACCTGGTTGAAAGCACCATGGATTTTAAGGCAAACATCTGGCAAAAGCAGGATCCTTTCCCTAAAATGGGTGTGGAATGTTTGGCCCTCCAGATGTTTGGGACTACAACTTCCCCCATCATTTACCATTGAGCAAGTGGGGTGAGCCTGATGGGAGTTGTAGGCCCAAACCTCTGGAGATACTGAAGCCATTGCAGTATAGTAGTGCTTCCCAAACTTGGGACCCCAGATGTTCTTGGAATACAATTCCCAGAAATCTCCCCCTCCATTTTATTTCCCCCCAGATCCTCAGAGGTCTGTTAATTCGTTCAGTCTGAGAGGCAGCATTTGGCTCAAGGTCACCCAGGGAGCTTCAAGATTCAGTATTTGAACCTGAATTTTTTCAGTCCTGGTTCAACAATCCAAGCCACTACAGCATTACGAAAACTTCTGCAATTGTGTTCATCCTTGAGATTAGTCATTCTTTGCCAGGTGGGTTACATGAGCACTGAGTCACAATGATGCAATTGCACCAAGTCAAGATCCCAGTCCTTATTCCACATGTGAGCTTCTTTTATGCATTAGAGCCCCATGGGAAGTTGAATTTTTCTGCCTGTGTGATTGTACTTCCGAGCTGAACATGTGATATTACAATTCTGTTGGAAGCTGAAAGTATTTTTCATGACTATTGTGGTTCCTTGTAGGTGCAGAAAAAGTGCTGCTCCACGCATTTGATGGCAAGCCGTCAGTAGCTTTGGAAGGGGTCAAGGCAGGATACTTTTTCTCTATTCCTCCTTCCATTATAAGGAGTGAACAGGTGAGACTCAAAGATCCTAGTCTTTATGTGCTTTCTTCACATCTCAAATCATCCAGCACTAGTTTATCAGGATCCAATGAGGTCAGATACAAATTACATGGTACATACAGCCTAGAGGTCAGAGCTGACAAAAAAAAAGATACGAAGGGATATGACCTAATTCACATATGTAACTTGTTATACGAGTATACATACCTAGTGCTGGGTTTAAAGTGATGAAGTGCATAATCACTGCTCTGATTAATACTTCAAACCCCCCCCCTTCCTTGGCCCCTCCATAGAACTGAGGAAGTCTTTAATTTGCCAATATCTTGAAGTAGGGGCTTATATCCAGCTCACCCATGTAGAGACTCCAGTTCTCTTCTTCAGCTACTTCATGATACAGTAGGAACCCGATATCTGCTGGGGATTTGTTTCATGT